CGTCAAACAAGGCTACCGTACAACGAGGATTATAATTACAAAACCGAATTAAAATGTGAAAAGACAAAATAACCAATAAATATGGATTACAAAAGATGTGTCTACAATAAGTAAGTAAACAATTCATGTGAATTAAACGCGTATTTCATGATAGAAAACTGCAATCGTATAGCAGACGATATTCAAATAGCTCTGTCATAGTAAAAATGTGTAACTACCATAAAATCACGTTTAACATAAAATCCCTTGATAAATCTTAGTAAAACATATTCAAACATTAATTTTGTGGATATTCACAAGCAATTATAACATTGGATTGCATAACAAAATACAACTTGCTCAAATACGAAACTCTGGCTGATACAAATAAGATGTCGGCGGGATGTAAACAACTTCCATGACTCCAACAATCGTGTGCAATTATGGCTATGTCAAGCGCTTATTTGACTCATAAATAATCAAGTAAAATACAGTAACATGCAAAGATTTTGAAGGTATGCACATGAATTCATAAAATATAGGATTTCCTGTATAAATCCAAACAACAAGTATGTCAAATGTGCTAAAAATAGACAATACCACGTTGAGTAAATAATCAAAGGACTGAAATGTAGTAGTGTAGTTAATGCATAATAAAATCCACCAAGATAATTTTCCCAATAAATGTTGACACAATTAAATCATAAAAAAATAAACTAATTAATTAAATTCTACCCCAGGTCATTACACTTCCCTCACCCGAAACTCTTAATTCTCCTGAATTATCCTGAATAAAAGCATTTCTGCACAATATAGGAAAACACACATATAAATTTGTAATACATGCACTAATAGTTAATAAATGTTAATTTTCTTTCTGATATAGTCACTTAAACTTAGAAGAATTCCAGCATCAAGGTGAAATCGTCACAACGTCTCTTCCACTGGCTGCTTCCACACTCAAGGAAATCCACCACTATTCCATCCTCCTACTTCAGCAAGTACCATGCAGGGATGTTCCCAAGGTGCCCGTTTGGACATACTCAACTCCAAAGATGGGGTGCTGTCAACTTCCATGGAGACAACATAAGCACTCAAGGCAAGGCCAAATATTTAATCTGTCCAAGAGGCCTGGATGCCCCATCTACCTGGCTGGCTTCTGGGTTCTCCCTAGAGTGAGTGCTGCAGATTCCACCTGTGGAAGTTAATGGACCGATTCCTTTGGTTGGCATGGCACGGAAACATTTGTGATGGAAGTGGCATACATCCCAGGGCCAGGATGTGTCCAGGCACTAGTGGCTAGTGTACCTATGGTAGGAGGGGAGGAACTTGGACAGGATATTATTGGGATGGACATGGAACAGGTCTGGATATGGTGTTTGGAAAGGTTATACTGTTTGAAGCCAATGGGGTTGTGAGGGCTGTCAGAAAGATGGCAGGCAATGGAATTAAGGGATCCACTGGAATATGGGGCAGTGAGGTGGTATGGTTATCAATGGAGGTACAGGCTTTGGATTTTTTTCTGGCTATCAAAGGATTTGGCTAGGTAAAAAGAGTTGTGGACTGCAGAGGTAATTATGATTGATGAGTGGAGGATCTGGGATTCTGTACAGGGAAGGATTTGATGTCACCACATCTAAGTATTAATAAATAACAACAACAACTACAGCAATCAACTTAAATTTATTTTCAATGAAATAGCTAGATGCAGGTAAACTTAAATCATCCACTGGTTACACCCTTGAGATGCACTGGCCAGCTACACCTCGGTGCCTACCTCTGGTTAGGGCCATAGATTGTACGCGTCCGTCACCTCCCTACATCAGAGGCGTGGGCCATAGATGGTGCACCATCCGTCCCCTCCCTCCACCTACTGATGCGGGCCATAGACCATACACATCCGTACCTCCCTCCACCAGCACCAAAATACAAAAGTAAAAATAAAAAAAATTATCTGCATCCAGTATCAATCATTGGTTAAATCTTCCACTCAAGTCTAATTTTGGCTTTGGCTTGGTACAGTGGTTTGGATGAATTTTTGTTGATATTAGTTTTGGTATGCCTGGAGCCTGTGAGGGCAAGCTCTCATGAAGTGATTTGGAGAATAGCATATATAGCAGTTTCTGTGTGCTGGGTAGGGCCTATTGTTCTTATTTGAGCTGTTTTCTAAGTGATCTAATCTCGTAATGAGACTCTGAAGGGTGGAATTAATTTCATTGTTTCCTTCTTTTTCAGGTTTCTGCTGGTCAAATGGCCGTTTTGTTCTCGCGTTTGCTTCAACAGCGCGAATATTCAACTGGCGCTTTTCGGAGCTATCCCCAAGAATGGACTCGTACCGTTCGATTACATCTACTGCTTCGGCCACCGTTTGACACTCTTTGTCGATGCACCGACACTTCATCTCAAGGGAGATAACTTTATACAGCTGATTGAGAGCTAATGCTTCTTGAGCTAGGGTGTCCAAATTATTGTAGGCTCTTTGGGCCATCTGTCTGATGTCATCACCCACCACTGCTATGGACTCGCCTGGAAGGCGTCGTCTCATCTCGAGTTTAGAGAGCCATCTATTCTGGTTTTTAATGCTACCAAACCTTTGGTTAAGTTTGTGAACAAGAGACTGAAAGGATTCTTTATCTTCAGGGGATAAACCAATATAGTAAGTTCTGGCTTGATCGCGAAGACTTGCAGCTAGGAAAAGTAACTTAGTGCGGTCACAACATCTGCCTAACTCTGCACAATCTTGAAAATGAGAGATGTATTCATCCCAGTCATCTTTACCATTATAGGACTCTGGCTTTACAACTATATTAGTCTCAAGGGACTGTCTAGTCACATCATTCAATTTATCATATTGCATTCTGGAAGGGAAATTTTCTGGATATGGTACAAATCTATCTTTGTTGCAAAGCTCTGGTTCAACATCAGGAACTGGGCTATGGCTAGGTCTCTTTGGACGTCGTGGGGAGGGAGATGAGTCAAAGAACTGGTCACCTTGGCCTAACTCATCATCATCAACACGAAATTGCACTTCAGGGTCTGGGGATTGAGCCGTTGCCATCTTACTAGTATTAATAAAAATGTAAAACCACAAATTATAAGTTAACAAACATACTATGTACATGTTATACCAACACACTGGACAGCTGAGCGGTTACTGGACAGGCAATGGGTTTGTATCACTGGATGCCTTTAGGAAAATAGGCATCCCACTTCTGACACCAAAAATTGTAAGCTCCCCACGGATGGCCATCCTGGAATGGGGGCTATATAAAGTAATTACACACAACACTTCTCAAAGTCACTCCTTATTTCTTGCTTCATATTTCTCAGTAAGGACAAGGCTTGGTATCAATTTAATAATTGGTTTATTAATTGATCATTCAACAGGAAATAACAATAGGTAAACAAACATCTATATTGGATACATATAGATAATTAATATTCATTTTGTCCCACAGTGTCAACCGTACTTTCAACGATAAAAATGGCATTAAAGTTGATTTGGCATTAAAAAGCTCTAAAAATATAACATCAGGTGTCCAGTGTGTTGGGAGATAATTTACAGTTGTCTCACCTAGGGCTAGGCTACAATCCTTGCTTGTGCAACTTATCTGCCAGAGACTGGCGAGGCACTTATATTTATAACCTTCGGAAGTCGTCATGTGACATGAATTAACGAATGAAAAAGCTGTATTGTACTCAACCAATCACAGCGCTGTACGGCGCCGTACAAACAGAGATCTGCCAAACAGTGCCAAACAACGTCAAACAAGGCTGCCGTACAACGAGGATTATAATTACAAAACCGAATTAAAATGTGAAAAGACAAAATAACCAATAAATATGGATTACAAAAGATGTTTTCATCTACTGTAAGTAAACAATTCATGTGAATTAAATGCGTATTTCATGATAGAAATCTGCAATCGTATAGCAGACGATATTCAAATAGCACTGTCATAGTAAAAATGTGTAACTACCATAAAATCACGTTTAACATAAAAACCCTTGATAAATCTCAGTAAAACATATTCAAACATTAACTTTGTGGATATTCACAAGCAAATATAACATTGGATTACATAACAAAATACAACTTGCTCAAATACGAAACTCTGGCTAATACAAATAAGATGTCGGCGGGATGTAAACAACTTCCATGACTCCAACAATCGTGTGCAATTATGGCTATGTCAAGCGCTTATTTGACTCATAAATAATCAAGTAAAATACAGTAACATCCAAAGATTCTGAAAGGTATGCACATGAATTCATAAAATATAGGATTTCCTGTATAAATCCAAACAACAAGTATGTCAAATGTGCTAAAAATAGACAATACCACGTTGAGTAAATAATCAAAGGACTGAAATGTAGTAGTGTCATTAATGCATAATAAAATCCACCCAGATAATATTTTCAATAAATGTTGACACAATTAAATCATAAAAAAAATTACTAATTAATTAAATTCTACCCCAGGTCATTACACTCTTTATATTCCTTTGTTAAACTTTGATCAGTCATTGTGGCCCCGCCCTATTCCCGGGGTCATGATTTAAACAAAAATGAATCTACACTACCTAAGGATGATTCCACAAAGTACATTACTTTCAACTTTCCTGACCAAGTGGTTCTTGAGAAGATTGTTTAAAAAACCTTCAATTTTTCACTTATTCATTATTATCTCCCCATGGAAGCGGGCGTTGTCCTACATGTATATTTGAACAAACTTGAATCCCCTTTACCCAAGCATAGTTTATTGAATGTTTGGTTGAGATTGGTCCAGTGGTTCTTGAGAAGAAGTCAAAAATGCCAAAAGTTTACAACGACAGGCACCGGACAAATTTTGATCGGAAACGCTTACTTGAAGGCTCACGTAAGCTAAAAATAGTTACATGTATTTCCCTTTGTTAATGTCAATTAAAATGATTAATACAAAAGTCTTCACCTGATTCCACTGAGCCTGAACAACTATTCATAAATTGTTCTTACCATACATGTAATAATTAAAATATTACCTCTGTGTGTCCATCCCCCGTAAATGGAGTCTTCCTGACAACACACCTCTTCCCCGACTTGATCATCAAACTTCTTCTCCATATTTAGCACCAGAATGAAGAACGCCCGAGGACTCAGAAAAATCTGGTGTGAGGCATAATAAGCACACTGTCCTGCAAAGTCTACCATAGTTATTTTTTTGTCTGGATCTGAATTACCTTTTTCCTCAATTTTCAATTTTCCAGAGAATTCTGAACTATAGGGAAAATCTTTGCTTTCATTAATATTTTTTTTCACTGCATTTGCCCCTCCTGGTTTATAGGATAAGGTCGTTTTAACGTCGGTATAACCATGTGATAAGTGTCCACTGTTTGATGCTTCAACCTTATTGCCCTTATCATCTACTGGTACCATCTTTTCAAGATCATCAGCTACACTCTCTAAATGTTTCATATCTTCAGCCTCAAGTCTAAGTTTAAAGCGCTGTTCTTGGCTTGAAAAATTAACTGCAAATGAAATTGAATAAAATTTGTTTAACATCTTACTTTTTTGTCCCTGTGCTTTTTATTATATTTAAAATAAATATTAAACAAAAATAAGAAGCTGAAATAGGGTTGTCCGTACAGTTCGTGGACTACATTGATAATTTAATTACTGACAAGCATTTATTAAATATACAAAACTGTTATTTTCATTCATTTCATGTTTAATGTTTCATGTTTATATATATATATATATATATATATATATATATATATATATATATATATATATATATATATATATATATATATATAAAGTAACCCTCTTCTACGGTTAATACCTAGATGTACGAGGGTTGTTCGAAAAGTTCGTGGACGATGCCAACCTTCGTTTTACTGCTTTCTAGAAATTTAAAATAAGCTCAATATCCTGTGTAAAAAGGTTTGTTTTGTTGATGTGTGAAGTTTAATTTCATTCGATTGAATAGAAATTAATTTACTTCATTTCAATATCAACATGTTTTGTACCCGCAGAGCATACTCAATGGTGATGTAACGTCAAAACATAGTCAAGAATTTCTTAAAAATACTATCCCACACATTTCAACATTTAAGTTCAATAATCAATCATTAAAAACCTTTTTCTAACACTTGAAATTCCTTTTTCTAACAATTGTTCTCATTGTATAATTTCCTTTGTCAATGTTTTACTTTCTTTTACCACTTATCTTTTACAAAACAAGCAATTCGGAAGCGCTATGTCTTTCCATGACGTTCAAAATTTTTTAAGTTTTTGATTACCTTTTATTAGATAAACTGTTTCTTCACAGATTGTTTTCATCCGATACAGAGACTCTGTTACTCAAATGTCGCCTGTACCATTTATAAATACATGCACGACTTAATAGTGACATACTTTTTGAATAATCTAATATTTCTAGTGCTTATGTAGGATTTTTCCCGAGTATAACACAAAATTGAACCTTATCTGCTACTCTTTGACGTTCAACAACGTCATCATTTTTGTCTCTTTCAATGAACACTACCTATCTTTATAAATTGATTTCTTTACAACTACATGTAATTAAAATATTAAGGTAAAATTTGAAATATGAATCAATGTAACAGTCTTTAATTTCAAAGTTTAGGTATTTTTCTCGTTTTTGCTCAACTTTACAAAGAATATGACTACAGACATTGTCATATTTATTTCGTATGTTGGTTGTCAATTACTAAATTTTGACTTGCTCCGCGATCCGATTTTTGCAGTTTTAATTCTGGATAAGTTTAAAATTAAACATGATTATTTTATATTTTTAATTAAAATAATTTGGATTTGTAGTTAAAATATTTCGACCAAATTTGGTTAGCATATGACGTTAAATAAAAAAAAAGGTATGACAGGAGTCCACGAACTTTTCGAACAACCCTCGTATATTATAGCTTAATAGAAATGCATAACGCCATATACGTTCTCATATTATAAGCTTTTTAGCTCACCTGAGCTGAAAGCTCAAGTGAGCTTTTCTGATCACATTTTGCCCGACGTCTGTCTGTCTGTCTGTTAGTCTGTCCGTTTGTCTGTAAACTTTTCACATTTTCATCTTCGTCTCAAGAACCACTGGACCAATTTCAACCAAATTTGCCACAAAATATCCTTAGGTAAATGGAATTATAGTTTATTCAAATTAAGGGCCACGCCTTCTTCCAAGGGGAGATAATTATGAATTAAGTAGTTTATAAATAATGGCATTGGTAAAAAAATCTTCTCAAGAACCACTGGGCCAGGAAAGATGAAACTCATGTGGAATCATCCTCAGGTAGTGTAGATTCAAGTTTGTTCAAATCATGACCCCCAGAGGTAGGGCGGGGCCACAATGGCCGACCATAATTTTACATAGAAATATATAGGAAAATTCTTTAAAAATCTTCTCAAGAAAAACAAAGCCATGATTTGTCATATTTATATAGAAGCATCCTAAGGTAATGTAGATTCAAGTTTGTTCAAATCATGACCCCCAGGGGTAGGGCGGGGCCACAATGATCGACCAAAGTTATACATAAAATTACATAGGAAAATTCTTTAAAATCTTCTTCTCAAGAATAACAAAGCCAAGATTGGTCATTTTTATATGGAAGCATCATCAGGTAGTGTAGATTCAAGTTAGTGCAAATTAAACCCTCTAACCTTTATGGTTGGTACAACTTTTGGGTTTAAACTTTTCAATTATAAACTAATTTCTGCTTTTATGCTAGCCACAGTGTGTATGTGAGCGATGTGGCCCATGGGCCTTTTGTTTTGAAGTCGATATATCTTTGGATCGACATTATGAAAGGGCTAGTGCTTTAACTAATGTGTATAAAGTACAGCAGAAAATGGCCTCTTTGTTCATATATTTCAGGATTCTTTAGGCACCTTCGTTGCATTTAAGTACTGTGTGACTTAATATTACTCTTAAGAAATGATTTGCGTTGTTTTAAATTTTAATACAAACATACAATAGCAATTTATAACAATCGAATTACACAATGAATAAAGAATACCTAGGATGCTTTCTGTCACATCAAAGACATCCGTGTGGATATCGACGCCTCTGGTTGAACTGATATTTTTCTTTATTTCGTTTACGTCAATACCCTTCAGTCTCTCTAACAATGTGGTTTTACCACTACCGGCACACCCTATTATCATCCCAGAGGCATGGTACATGGTTGTCTTTCCTCTCTTAAGTTTCTCAATGAAATTTTTCACTGAGTTGTCTCCCCTTACTATGACATGAATTGGTATCCCGACTAATAAAGAAAAAAGCTTTAGTATTATAATTTTAAGACAAATTCGTGACTATGTAAATGTGCGACTTTAAAAAGAAATATTATTATTCTTTGTCTCAAAAATATTTAATTCAAAAAGCTGTTAACAATTATTATTAATCAACCATCCCATCCAAGCAAATGTATGTCATTACAAAATGGAAATATACAAGGTATGTACACTCTTGAGAAAATATATTTTTTTAATTTTGAAAATTCATAGAAAAGTTGTTATCTCTATACTATCATTCATACATTTGGTTCCTTTATTTGTTATATAATGTATTTTCAGCTATGCTTCTGAAGATATGATAATTATTTACGTGAATCAGCCTAAACCACGTATGATGACTACCTTATTATTTAATGATAAAAGTCCATAATACCTTTATAAATCATCATTAGAACTTACTTAGCCTCTGTCGCGCTCCAGGCATGTTGACTGCTCCTCCTGTGCTCTGCTGAATTCTGTTCAATCGTCTTTCCTCTAGATATTTCTGGATTTTATGGATCCTCTCAGCCAACAAATCATAGTATTCCTCCTGTAAGCAAAATTGTGACAATTAAGACTTGTTTCCTCTAAATACTCTACTTTTGCTAAAAAGGGATAACCCTAAATCTGTACAATCCCGAACCTATAGTAAATTATCCTGCCTTATGAAAGTCTTGACAGACATTCAGATCTTCAAATACATGTCAGAATACAGTATATTTCACATTCTTAAAAATTCTCCTTACCCGACTATTTGCTGTATCATGCATATCTCCCTCCACCTTTCTAGCATAAGCCACCAAATTATTCATTCTCTCATCTTCAAGGAATGCTGGGTTTATATGACTAGGGAATATTGCCTTAGAACTGAAATAATATTCATTAGTATTTCATCTCAAATAGGTAAATAAAAAACAACAAATCTTTTTAAAGATCACTTACATCAAGTACACATGATGTTTTCTAAGGTCTTGAGTCAAACTCTGATGCCATTCCTTGGAATCACTTGATTTTTTAGCTGCAATCTTGCGATTTGTAAACCAAGATAACAAGTTATTCTGGGGATTACCAATTCTATTAGCATTCAGTCCAGAGGCTTAAAAAAGATGACAATTATTTTCAAGAATTTTTTCTAACAAATATAAATTAAGAATTGTTATTTTAAAAACTGCAATGCTCAATATTCAATCATTTAATCCACCGCTTGGCTGAACTGCTTTAGTATTATATGTAAGTTGGTTAAATATGGTAAACCAATTTACACGATTCATTAGAAATATGGAGTAAAATAAATCCGATTTTTTTTCAAACAATTGATACGAGGGGTGTTTGAAAAATAATGAATATTAACTCGCTGTATTTTATTCAACAGTAATATCACAGGTACAGTTCATCACAGTCCTTCAAAATATTCTCCTTTAACTTCTACACATTTTTTTGACCCGTGCGGATCCGGGTTAGAATAGGTCCTCAGTACCCCCTTGCTTGTCGTAAAAGGCGACTAAATGGGGCGGTCCTTCGGATGAGACCGTATAAACCGATGCGCCGTGTCACAGCAGGTGTGGCAGGATAAAGATCCCTCCCTGCTCAAAGGCCGTAAGTGCCGAGCATAGGCCTAAATTTGCAGCCCTTCACCGGCAATGGTGACGTCTCCATATCAGTGAAATATTCTGGAGAGGGACATTATACAGTATATAATCAATCTACACATTTTTTAGTCCTTGAATCCATTTCTGAAAAGCCGATTTATAGGACGATTTAGGGATACATACATGTACCCTTTAGACACTGGTATAGCGCACTGCCTGCATTTTAAAAGTATTTCACAAAGGGCAACACAGTTCATCAAAATCAAAAACCGATACACAGAATTATGTATCCCTGACCAGTAGAGCTAAATATTGCGTCGGTGCTTCTCGTTAAACAGAAAATAAAAACAAGAGGCCCATGGGCCACATCGCTCACCTGAGCACTGTAGCTAGGAAAAATCAATCCTTAAATGTAAGTGGCCCCAACCTACCCCAAAAAGGCAGAAGAGAAGATGATTTAATTATCTTGAATCTACAAAGAATTCTTAAATATTTCTTTGACTTACTGAGGCTTTTTACCTTAACGTATTAACTTTGATTTCATTTTTGCCCCACCCTATCCCTGGGGGTCATGATTTGAACAAACTTGATTCTACACTACCTGAGGATGCTTCTATATAAATATAATCAACCATGGCTTTGGTGTTCTTGAGAAGAAGATTTTTAAAAGATTTTTCCTATATATATCTCTTTGTAAAACTTTGGCCGTCCACTGTGGCCCCACCCTAACCCGGGGCCATAATTTGGACAAACTTGATTCTACAATACTTGAGGATGTTTTCTCATTAAAATGATCGATATCAAGCATGGCTTTGTTGTTCTTGAGGAGATTTAAAACTTTGGTCGTCAATTGTGGCCCCACCCTACCCCCGGGGGTTTCACAGTCACTACCTGAGGATGCTTCTAAATTGGATTCATCTTTCCCTACCCAGTGGTACTTGAGAAGAAGATTTTCAAACATACCACCAAATGTTCACTATTTCTTAATTATCTTCCCTTGAATAAGAGCGTTGCCCTTTAATTGAACAACGTTGAATCCCCTTTACCCAAGGATGTTTTGTGACAAGTTTGGATGAAATTGGCCCAGTGGTTCTGGAGAAGAAGTCAAATATATGAAAAAGTTTGCAGACGGACAGACAGACAGACAGCTAGACAGAGAGACGGACGACAGACAAATTGTGATCAGAAAAGCTCACTTGAGCTTTTAGCTCAGTTGAGCTAAAAACTCTGGCATTACTTTTTGTTTGTAACATGTGTCGATGAATGTATATTTAACAGCAGTGTAAGCTGTATCGATATTGGGATTTATGCTGATTGACGGTGGGTATAAAAGATGCATTATCATTCGCCAACTGCATCAGCTTTAGGGACAAGTCTTACTGAGTATATGTTTAACCTTGATCAAACATTCCAAAAACTGACCAGAGACTGACATATCTAGGTGATCATTCAAATATTTGAGCACTAAATTAATTCTTACTGGGGAAATGCCCAGGTCCCAAATGTCTTGCTTTTAGCCCTAGGTGCCTTTTAGCGTAGAAATAGAATTGGTATAGAGTTTGAAACCGTGTTTGCTGACCAGTTGGTGTGTCTGGCCGAAAGGTACCAAATTTGGAGACAAAGCTGCTTGTGAATTCACACAAAGTAATGCAGGGTTCATCTCACTGCACTTCGTGCAGCAGTGTGAATATGTGCAATGTTACCTGTTGCATTTACCCTTGTAATTGTAATCAAAGCTCTTGTAATACGTGGATGTCCTTTGACTATTGACTGCTACAGAAGGTGACATGTAAACAAGCCACAATTCGTTATCAGTTACCCCCAATTACCATTTGTATTTCATGTCATGCGTAGTCTGAACTGCTCATCGTATGTAACCCAACCCTGTGATATCTCAGCCCCTAATCTGACGTCATGCAAGTATTTGAGCAATTGCTGTGTTTTATTAGGGTGCGCTGTTAAATAAATAAAAGAAAAATCAAAAAGGTGTCCGTCCACTTTTCAACTGAAATGATTCTATTAGGTTGCTTTGGTTTAGCAATTATTTGGCCATGCGCGTCCATAGTTAATGCTGATAGCTGTAACTTACTAGGGTCTCTAACCAGTAAATTAGCAAAGTTAACATACATGTACTCCACAATAGCTATTTTTTTGTTTGGTAAAGTTATCAACATGGTATCGTAATGAAAATTGTGCTGAATTTGTCAAAGAAGGTTGACATGAGTTTGACAAAATTGTTTCCATACCAGTGCCACTATCAACTGTATCTTTAGAGCCGCTAGTTTCCGCTCGTGAAATAGTATAATTCATTTCCGGTACCATGGTTGCCTGTGATTGTGTTACTGTGTTGATGGGTATGGCTGTTTGGGATGTTGAGGACAGACCAAGCGAGGGAGGCTCTACCACCTGTGCTGTCACAGGCACATTGGCCGCTGGGGTTGTTTGTGCCACCGAGGCTGAAGCCGAGGTTGGAACTTGCTCGGGTAGAAATGTGGATTGCGGCGCTTCCATCCGTGCCTTTTTCGCACCCCTCCGTGTAGATATGGTTGACTTGAATTTTGCTTTAGGCATTTTGCTCTAAATGTTACTCAATTATTATAACTATTACTTGTCAAGTACAATACAAATAATACAAAAATAACAAGAGGCCAATGGGCCACATCGCTCACCTGAGCATTGTGGCTACGAAAAAGTAGAAATTGGTTTATTATTGAAAAGTTTAAATCCAAAAGATGTCCCCTTGACCAATCATAGCTTTACTATTCTTGAGAAGATGATTTTTAAAGATTTTTCCTATATATGTATATGTAAAACTTGGCCATTGTGGCCCCGTCAAACCCCTGGGGGTCATAATTTGAACTTACACAACCTGAGGATGCTTCCATTTAAATATGATCAATTATTGCTTTGCAATTCATCTTGAGAAGATTTTTTTTTAAATTCCTATATATTTCTGTGTAACACTTCGATCGACCATTTTGGCCCCGCCCGATCCCGGGGTTCATGGTTTGAGCAAACTATAATCTTCACAACCTGAGGATCTTTTCATATAAATATGATCAATTGTGGCATTTCCTATTCTTTAGAAGAAGATATTTAAAGAATTCTATATATCTATATGTAAAACTTTGATCGGCCATTTTGGCCCCACCCTACCCCTAGGGGTCATGATTAGAATCTACAATATGTGAGGATGCTTCCATATAAATATGATCAATTATGCCTTTGCTATACTCAGGAAGATTTTTAAAAGATTTTTACTATATATTGCTATGAAAAACTGAGATCGGCCATTGTGGCCTCGCCCTACCCCCAGGGGTCATGATTTGAACAAACTTGAACCTACACTACCTGTTTCCTTGTAAGTTTCATATTTCCTGGCACAGTGGTTCTTGAGAAGAAGATTTTTAAAACATATGCCACCAAATTTTCACTAATTCCAAATTATCTCTCTTTGAATGAGGGTGTGGTCCGTTATTTGAACAAACTTGAATCCCTATTACCCAAAGATGCTTTGTGGCAAGTTTGATTGAAATTGGCCAAGCGGTTCTTGAGAAGAAGTCAAAATGTGAAAAGCTTAGACAGACAGACGGACAGCTAGTCGGACGCCGGACAAAATGTGATCAAAAAAGCTCACTTGAGCCTTAATTAATACGCACATAAATCAATCGAAAATCGACGCTTTAAATAACCAACAATGCAATTTTTGCTTTAAAACATAATATTATCATCTTTTATTTTCCTAAAAATTTCCTTAACACTCTATAAAATTACCACTTGAAAGTCAAATAAGGACGGAAATGCAAAAGATAAACAAGACAAATACTATTGTATGCCCCAGTCATATGCAAGGCTAGGCATAAAATATGTGTCTAAATATGTTCTATCTAAATTAAATCTAAATTCATATTCAGAGTAAATATAAACCTGTAAATGAATATGTCCTCTTCTTTTCCAAAGCTACACTTTAAAATACATCATCTGGAACCTGTCAAAATAAGAGTAAATGCATAAATTATCTATTTTTACTTGTTTTTTCAACTTGGTACATGTATATAGAATATGATTTAAAGTTTTTTTTTCCAAAGAACGTTTAATGCTGTGTTCTCCTTATACTTATCTACTCAAAGCAATGTTATGTGGATTCAGGCATATGCATACTTAGGTCTAGATCTGCCAGATGAGTGTTTAACGTTTGAGCCATTTTGTGATTTTTTTCTAGCCTCAGAGGCTATGGTTTAAACAATAATAATCGATAATTTTCAAATTAAAACAACGCATTTTTTTCACTCTTTCTTAAATACAGGCACATCTAGACTTAATTTTGAAAATTATATATTACATGTATATCAGCTGTATATCATCCCTGTATACTTAGATTGTATTCAGAGACCTGCATGAACATAAGCAACTTCTTCATCATTTACACATTTATACTGCACATCCTTGGAAATCTGTCAAAATAAACTCAGTACACTTTGTGACTATGTCTGCAGAACAAATTTTTATCCGTGTTAGCCTTTATAATTGTTTTAAATTAATCATCTAAGACTGCAATTCATATCAGTCTATTATCTTCTCCAAATATAAAGGAAAATATAAACCTGTCCATGATGGTATCTTCAAAATCCTTTCACACGTTGAAATCACATTCTGTGGAAGCTTTCAAAAATAAGTAACAAATCAAATTAAAAAAGAAGCCCTTATGCCACATTGCTCACCTGATCTCTTCGGCTAGGAGTTCAGGGATGCATGAATTGAAAAAAAAAATTAACCTACACTGAGGACGCTACCATATATTTCTTTGACAAATCATGACTTTAGAGTTTTTTAAAAGAATTTTTTTTCTTGAAAGTTTATCTTCTATTGTGGCCCCACCCTAACCCCAGTGGCAATAATTGTAACAAACTTAAATTTACACAACCTGAGAATACTTCCATATAAATATGACCAATCATGACTTAGCAGTTCTTGAGAAGAATATTGCATTTCAGAGTAATTACATGTATCTACACTATCTGCATGATCTGAGGATGCTTCCATATAAATATTAATTACTGATCATGGTTTTATTGTTCTTGAGGAAATTTTTAAAGGTTTCCTCCATGTATTCATATTGAAAACCCGAGGTCATGATTTGAGCAAACTTGAATCTATACTACCTCACAATGATTCAACATAAGTTAAATTCATACTTTCAAATATAACATTTGTAGTTTTTGAGAAGATTTTTGATGAAGCCATTAATTTTTTACATCATCATAATTATCTCACTTTGGAAGAAGTCGTGGCCCTACACTTGAACAAACTTTAATCCAATTCACCCTAGGATACTTGTGAAAACAACAGCGACGACAACAGACAATTCCAATCAGAAAAGGTCACTTGGGCCTTTGACTCAGATGCAGCAGAGCTAAAAAAAAATTATGTATATCGATTGTAAATAAAAATAAAAACCACGCCATCTTGATCTTAAAATAATTTTCATTTAATCTACATGTACTTCCTTGTTCCTGTTATTTATCGTGAACAAAAACAAAACTAGCATACCTATGATGTTATTGAAATATTGTCATTACCAACGTCTTCATATGTGTAGTTCCAATAATAATAATGCCGTTTTTTTTTTGTAGTAAATATGTTGATGCTTATTTTGCTCTTTTCCACTATCTAGTCTTGCCAAAAATTCGTTTAGCAGCAACGTCTGCGCATAGGTCTTGACCCCTTACTCGGCAATCATCGGCTGACTGAAGACATACGGAATATATATATGGGCAATTACTGTGTGTTATACATCAAAACTGGTGAATATTAGATTAAACATGTTTTAGATTTATTTTTAACTTCAAAATATTTATTATTAGATATAATGTATTTATTAATGTTTATTTTGATTGACGAGGGACAATATATTAATCAAAACAAAAATTTGATATAAATCAGACGGGTAAACAACAGACCACAATATTAATGTTACTAGAATGATACCGTGAAATATGTACAGCATGTACGGAAAAAAAAGTCATAAGGATATAAACAAAAATTATCTTCATATTTATGTGTTATTTTTTATTAATGATTGAAGAAATAAAAAAAACAATGATTACTTAATATAGGTGTGTTTGTTTTTACAACTATAACAAGCATTCATGAATTTTACAATATTGAAATGATAGAGTTATATATATGTTTTATGAAATAAGTACACATATTTAAAATATTAATATATATATTGGATTTATCTGCAGACATTTGTCGAATTTCAAGTTGAAGTGACCAGGCTGTCAATTATGTGCACACCAACAGATCGTAGATGCGAGTAATTTTTCTGTAATTGGAATATTTACAAATCAGTAGTACATTCATTAGAAATTAAATAGAAATTAAACAGAAATACGAAAAGGAAGAAGAACGGTAACTTTGTTGAGGCGGATGACGAAAAAGAGTTGCAAATCTTCTCTCATTTTGCATGTATCTGTCAGAAACGATGTATTTAAACGGCTAATGAGACAGAAAGGTAACATCATGATATTCCGTAGTGCATACAAGTGGGAAACAGGTGTGTCAACCCCGAATTCGAAAGAAAAAAAAGAGGGTAAGCTTAAATATATGTTGACGGTGCAACCGATAGGGCAAGAGCAGATATCTTCAAACCGCATGTGACAGTTGGTACGTCTAGACTCTGACGTCACATGACGTTGTATTTAGCTTCCATGACCAAACTTAACCCCGAGCATTGCCGAATTTAATGAAGAAATTAAAGTATTTGCTATTTTATCCATCATTATTTTATCCGTTTATTTTATTCATCAAATCAAGGTTTTTTTTTTTTGCTGTTTTTGAACTTTTGTCTTTGAATAACATTTAATATGTTATTTTTCTCCACATGATCCTTAAAATTATTAAAGTATTTTTTGTATTATAAAATAAAAATTGTTACATTAAATTCTAGCTCTTTTTAAATAATCTCTCAACTAAATTATTTACAGTGATTAATTGTCAGAATTGAATGGGAACGGAAATTTCTCTCAGTAGAACACAAATAAATAGCGCCCTGGCAAGGACCAGAACACTTGACAAAAGGGTCCAGATGTTCAGAAATCTGGGGGAAAACCCTTGCTTATTAAAACTGTTGCTTTGTTTGCCTCCAATATATCTAGGAACATCGTCACTATATCAATAAAGCATATAATATTATGTATTATTTTGCAATAGTTGAAAAAAAGATTGTTAACCTCCAATTGTGACCCCCCCACCCCCCGGATATTATTTTAATAAATCTAAATCTGCACTACTTGTAGATTTTTACATGTCAATTTGACTAAACAAAACTTTTCTGTTCTGGAGAAGATTTTTTTTCCTATTATATATTCTTATGCAAAACTTTGATCCCTCGTTATGGTCACAAAATAACCCCGGGTTCATAATTTGAACAAACCTGAATCTAAAGCACCTGAGGATACTTCCATTAGTTCCACATAAAAAATTTACTAATCATGGATTTGGTGTTCTGCAGAAAATTTTCAAAGTTATTTTAGTATAAATTCTTATGTAAAAAAAATTGATCCAACATTGTGTCCTCACCCTACCCTCCAAGAATTCTGATTTGAACAATCTTGAAACTACACTACCTGAGGATGTTTCCATATAAATATCACCAAGTTTGCCATGGTTTTGCTGTTTTTGAGAAGATTTGTCAAAGATTTGTCCTATATTTCTTTATGTAAAGCTTTAATTGCCCATTTTGGCCCCACCCTTCCCCCAGGGGTCATGATATGAACAAAGTTGAAAAACTTTAATCGAGGATGTTTCCATATTAATATCATGCTGATCTTGAGATTATTAAAATATTTTCCTATACCCCTTCCGGTGTAAAATTTTGATCAGCCATTGTGGTCCCAGCCGGGATCATGATTTGAACGAACTTGCATCTACACTACCTGAGGATGCTTCCACATAAGCTTCATCTTTCCTGGCCCAATGGTTCTGGAGAATTTTCCTACATATTCCTGAAGATTTTTCCTACATGCCTTTGTAAAACTCTAATCAGCCATTGTGGCCCCTACCCTTACCCAATAAGTTTAATTTGGGCAATTTAAAATCCTCACGACCCCAGTATGCTTTCAATTAGTTTCAGCTTTTCTGGCCCGGTGGTACTAAAGAACAATAGTTTTATAAAGATATATATATTTCAATGTAAACCTTGAATTCCCTTTTGTTGCCCCGCCCTGCCCACGGGGTCTTGATTTTAGCAATTTTATTAGAATCTACTCTATCCCAAAATGCTTCTTCGTACAATTCAACTTTTGCTGGCCTAATTCTCTATTGTGGCCCGCCCTAACCCTGGGGGTCTTCATTATCCCAGGATGCTTCCACATAAGTTTAAGCTTTTTCTGATATTTTATAATGTAAAACTTTGTTTCCCTATTCTTGCCCCGCCCTTTCCCGGGTGTCCTAATCGTACCGATTTAGAATCTACTATCACAGGCACCTGACGTTACTTATTTTTCTTTTAATAAAAAAAATTATACCCTTACCTTATAATAAACAAGGTACCCAAGGCGCCATCTTGAATTTTTCTAGGCCAGCCACATCAGCACGATTTTTCGCTCGAAACGGAATGACAAGATAATTTTGCAATCCTCTCCGTGTAGCGGCAGGTCCTTCAACATCTATACTTACGACCTATCCAACCAAATCAGCACATTTCGTTTGCAATTAATTAAAATCTCTCCTCGTTTTCTATCTACTGCTTCAGATATGCGAAAAATCGCCAAAGGGGGCCGGAAGTTTACATCATCACACATTCTTCGGGCAATCCCTTTTCTGATTGGTCAATTCTCTTTCCAAATATAATGCCAATATACATATTCAAAAGGCGGCAGGTTTAAATTCATAAATCGAAATAGTTACTTACGAAATGAAATTATGGAAGTTGATCATTTCTACTGGTAATTATTGC